CGACCTGTCTGTCGTCAGTGTCGGTGGCCGTGAGTTCGATGATGGACGTGGACAATCCGTCACTGTCTAGCTACCACATGCACCCCCGAAAATTGGACGGCAACATTCTCGTCCTCGACCGCCTGCGTCGCTAGCGCGTGTGCGGCCACATCCGCGTCTAGCTGCACCGCATGTGCATTGCGAGCAGCGTCTTGAGCATGCGTGGCCTTGTAGAGCGCTCGCTGCTCCGCAACGAAATTCGGGGTTCCCACGGTCATGGCGGCCACGGCCTCCTCGCTTGCGCGCTCGCCATAGATTTGGCCCTACGCCAACCGGTGCTGCTCGAGGAGGAACATATTATCCATTGCTCTTTCTGTGCCTGCTGAAACACCGACATAAGTGTGTCCAGGCTCTCCTCCACCATGGCGACACCGTAGTACTTCACCTACGCCTGCTTCATGGTCAAACCGGCATGCACAGGCGTGATGTCATCGTCGGAGCCCGTCTCCATCGTAGGGTCATCGTTGGAGACTTCCGACGAGCTGGCCGCCATGTCGTGCTCGATTCGCCAGACGCGGCGGGTCTGCTAGGCGGCTGCAAGGGCGGCCATCTCGTGCTTCTGCTCCTCAGAGAGAAGGGTTTTTGGTGGGCCGTCAGCATAGTCAGGAACGGGCATGGCAGTGGTCCGGACGCCCTCAAAGCCCCTTCCCCCTCTCCACTTTGTCTTCGGTTTGCAAAAAAGAAAACGTCTGTACTGGCTTGCGGACGATGCAGAACTGTGTTAGATGGCAAAAACATGGTCGCCCTTGCGGTCCGGTTTGTGTATCCTCGTGAAAAAGATACGGGCATCGTAGAAATTTCCTAATACATTGTAGTCGGCATAGAAGTTTGGCATTTGCACACGGCACATGGCAATCCTCGCGCGCACTTGCACACGCACAGCGGGTTCTTTGGGCATGTAGCAGATCGGACAAAATCCATGCATGCATGGCAGGCAAATGGGTGCAGCTGGCCGGCCGTTGAAGCATCACATCGTGATGCGTGATGCATGCATGCAAGTATGCGTGAATGTGTGCATACCCCGGACAGTGAACGAGAAATATCGAACTCCTCCCTGCTGGCTGGTCCACTCGTACGCACACACCCGTGCATGGCGTTGCGTGTCAGGCCGGCCGGCCGGCCGCGTGCAATACAGTAGCACCCCGCCATTGCTATTCTTGCACGCCAGAAGCAGGCTGAACATGGGGCGGGCCGTGCATACCCGATCGAGAGAAGTTTCACAGGTACTGTTTCCAGCCACTAGCTGACACATATACAAGTTTTGGCCATTTCTTTCCAATTTTCCTTGACCCCGAAACAGCAGGTGAGGCTCCGACTGCAATCATACTCTCTCCGTTACTAAATATTTATCTTTTTAGAGATTTTAAATGAACTACCACATACAGATGTATATAGACATATATTAGAGTGTAGATTCACTCATTTTGCTCCGTATGTAGTCATTTGTTGAAATCTATAAAAAGACAAATATTTAGGAACGGAGGGAGTATATTTCAACTATGTGCATGCATGCAATCAAGCAACCTTGAAAACCTAACCAGATGACATTGATTTAGCCATAAATCTTTTATATCTAAATAGTTAGCCCTATTAATCTATTTCTCTCAACATATAGGCATGTCATCTCATCATGCAACATGCATGGGAAAAGCACGCCTCAACATGCAATTAAACATATGGAAAAACTCATCTGAACATAGAAACATGCATACAAATTTTTATTTTATAATGCTATTTATAATGTTTTACAAGTATACAATAATCAGACCCAATAAATTATATGTATTTTCAGTTTTAGTTCTCATATTATTACTTCAAATATTAATGTTTCATACAATCTAATCTAAGTGAAATATAATGCAAAACATTCCCGCACTTCTAGTCAATAAAAAAAAAGAATGAGTCGTATGATGAACAGAATAAAAAAAATCTACACATTCTTCTAATGAAAACTTTGCAAAATTCAGTAGGGGAATAAACGTTGTGTCTAATGAGTGTAAAGCCATTTAACTTCATAAATATCTAGAAAATCTTGTATGGCATGCGCAGAAAGTTTAGTCATGCATCGCGAGTGAAGGAGAAAAAGACACCAACATACAACGTGTCTTGTTATATTTCTCCTTGTAACATGGGAAAAAAGGGAAACATGTGACCTCCCCTGCTTGCCTCACCACACCAAACTCGTCCGTTCACCATGTTTCATGATCGATCTGAGCTAGTTTAGTGAGTGGTCACATTGAGAATTATAGTCCACTGATTAAAAGGGGCCGGGGAAATCTTTTGAAATTCGTGGGGAGTTAAACATTTGTGTATTGATAAGACCGTTCACAATTTTTTAAAGTTCGATCCCCCCTCCCCCCTCCCCTCAAGATGAACCATATAGCCAAGAGAAACCGTAAACCAAAGCAGAAGAGCTTGCCCCACCCATGAGTAAATATTTCATAGTATTATTTATCGCTCAAACAGATGTATCTAGCTGAATATGGACAGGAGGGAATATTATTTAATTGTCTCCCGTGCGGCTTCATGACCTTGGGAGGGGGGGGGGGGGGCATAGGCCGAGAGAAACTTGCACCTTCACACAGAGCCCAACTATGTCTACTATTTCCCTCAGATCGCCCAATTCATTTTACTGTGAAGCTTCAAGGTCTATCTCATTATGGCGGTATGAAAGAGCAAGCATCTGAAACCGTGTCCTGGAGAACCTGCATCGGCGTGGGACGATAAGATTTTCCGGGAATATCTGGGCACCTCTGCTATCTTTGCGGCCAACACTTTATGAGCTATCATCTCATTGTTAGTATTTGTTTTGCTTTGTATGCAACAAATGATAGATACACTAGTTTATTCCTTGTCGCAAACTTGCATGCATGAGGAGGACGTATCCAGTACTCCACGTAGGAGTACCTCGGTGCACCACATAGTTTGGCATTTTTAAAAGTTACTACATATTGCGAAATGAATTCACAACAACTAATAATACATGTATCTGCCGTGCACAAAATTCCAAACCCAAACCAATATACATTTAAGTCGAGAAACGAAAAAAAGACAAATTCAGCATCGGTAGATTTAATGGGCCAAATTCACAGCCCAATTTGAAGTGACTGCCATTCACAATTCATTTGTACTTTTCATTTCATGAGTGATCTTTTAACTTCAGATATGAACTTTATGATGTGATTGATACCGAATGTATCTATGCACTTAATTTCTCTTGGATTTTTGTGTGACTTTTTCATGCACTATGTTCTCAATGTACGACTAGTTCTGCTAGCACACTTGCGATGATATTATTCTTAACCAAACTCAATCCAAAAATTTGCTCATCACTTCAGCAACAAAGCTGATGCCCCCCTCCTTTATTTCGCATGGATTTCCTGTTTGAAGCAGATGTATTCACCTTTTCTTTCACTTCACTATATAAAATCAAATTTATATTTAAAATTTCGTGTCAATGCATCGGCATCGATGGTGCTGATGCGCCAAATATTTTCCATAACAAGAAGTCCCCGGCAGGGTACTCATGAGCCCTCCCGAACAGGGCGCCCGCTAGTTTCCTGATCGATCCCTGGCATGTAGTGGCCTCCATGCTACGATCCAAGGACCGATCCATCCGGCTAGCTGCAGGGTGTGAAGGTTGACAGACGGGCAGATAGCTACGCCTAGGTCGGCACGGGAAGGCGCCAAGCCTTCCCGTGTATGGCGGCATCTTGATTTGAACGGGGACAAAGCATCTGCAGCTTGCATCTACACGGGCTACCGCTAGCGTAGCTAGGCTGCTTGCAGGATTAGTAGGCAAGTTGCAGGTATACGGGCAACTCTGCTGGCCTCTAGCAATCATCATGCCTTGCTAGTGTCTGTAAAATGTGATCCATGGATCGAAGATCAATATGTGGATGGAATTGTCTTGTCAAACATTATCTGTGTCGGCCAGAAATATCTGCCATAGCTGGCTAAGATTTGAACAAGTCAATTCATTCACTCTCCTGGGTGAAAAGCTATGTCCTGGCCAATGTGGTTTGGAGTATTCCTTCCTGAGTGTACATGTTGGGAACCTTGCTCGTGGTTTCGGTGTTGCCAACGACAGCGGTAGTCGTTGCCTAGCGCTTAGCTAGGCTGGTTGCAGGATTAGTTAGCAAGTTGCACGTACTGTGAGCAGCTCTGCTGCTGGCCTCCAGCAATCATATCATGCCGAGCTAGCTAGTTTCTGTAAAATGTAATCCATGGGTTTATCTGTGGATGGAACTAGCACACATGCAAGTTGTATTGTCAAACGTAATCCGTGGAGTAGAATATCTGGCTAGGGATGATATCTTCTACAGCTGGCTAAGATTTCATAGCTTTGGTGCATGCATATATATTTTTTCGTTCCACGTCCGGATGCACGTGCCTACGTACGTAATGCAACTCTCATGGTGGCAATCATACGTGCGTACGTGATCTAATTCTCCCGATTAAGATTTTTTGCATGGATTAAGATTTCAAGCCGCAATCATGAACTTGCCCATTTGAGGCTACGTATAGTATAAGAGCATATACATGTCGCTATCCATGTATATGTCTCCATCTCAAAATTGATTACCAGAGGCTAAGAGCATGTTTAGTCCTGCCAACTACTTTCACTCGTCAAACCAGAGGCTAAGAGCAAGTGGAGTACGTACTAACATATGTCGATTTATTCCACATATGTATATACCACACGATCTTCTCTTCACATGCACATCTCATTATTAATTCACGCCCGATATTCCAGGGAACGTGGTCATGTCGACCAAGACAGCGCAGGAGCAGCCCGTCTCGTTGCTCCACCACCTCACGCTCGCCTATATAAGCACGCCCACTTTCTTCTTCTTCCTCAAACCAGCTAACGTATTGGGTTAGCCAAGAGCAAGAAATTGGAAAATTGGATAGATCGAGCGGTGGCTACCACGTACTCTGAGGCCTCAAGCTCCAAGAGCATGGCCCGGATTGCCCCGCTCCTGCTGGTGGCGCTGCTCTCCCTAGCCGTGCAGCTCCCGCCGTCCGCGGCTTGCCCATCCTGCCCCAAACCAAAGCCTCCGCCGCCACCGCCGCGTAAGCTGACGCCTCCGCCGTCCGTGCCCTGCCCTCCGCCGCCACACTCTCCCAAGCCTACACCACCGCACACGCCTACCCCAAAGCCAACACCACCTCACACCCCAACCCCCATGCCTACCCCGCCACACACGCCTACCCCCACGCCAACACCGCCTCACACGCCCATGCCACCACACACTCCAACCCC